ATCAGGCACGGGCAACTTCGTCCCTCCAGGTGTTTTGGGACTTCAACTCCCACAATTCCTAACAGCCTACGCTGTTAGGAATTGTGGGAGTTGGAGTCCAAAACACCTGGAGGGACGAAGCTTGCCCATGCCTACTCTTGGGCATGACATTACTGTCCTTGTCTCAGTATTTCTGACCTGTTGAGGAAGGCGTTGCCGAAGGCGTTGAGCTTCCGGAAGGGCCGCTTGGGGTCCACGACCAGGGCGTTCCCGGGAACGATGCCCTCCACGTCGCCCTGCATCACCGCAATGAAGGAGTCCGTGGTCGGCTCCGGACCGATGCGCATCCCGGGGAAGTCCTGCTCAAGGAGGTACCTGCAAAGGTGAAACCAACATCTCAATTCAGGCCTTTCCACTTGGAATAACAACCCTGTGACCAGTTCTAGGCAAACAGACAACCTACATAAATAAAAATGTAATGTGCGTTTGTGGGATTAACAGAACTCAAAAACCACTGGACGAATTGACACCAAATTTGGACACAAGACACCTAACAACCCAATATATGTCCTTCACTAAAAAAAAATTGATTTTGTCATTTGGGAGTTGTAGTTGCTGGGATTTATAGTTCACCTACAATCAAAGAGCATTCTGAACTCCACCAATGATGGAATTGAACCAAACTTGGCACACAGTTCTCCCATGACCAGCAGAAAATACTGGAAGGTTTGGTGGGCAGTGTCCTTTGGTTTTGGAGTTGTAGTTCACTTACATCCAAGCGATCACAGTGGACTCAAACAATGATGGATCTGGACCAAACTCTACACGAATACTCAATATTCCCAAATGTGAACACTGGTGGAGTTTGGGGAAAATAGAATCTTGATATTTGGGAGTTGCAGTTGCTGGGATTTATAGTTCACCTACAATCACAGAGCATTCTGAACCCCACCAATGATAGAATTGGCCCAAACCTCCCACACAGAACCCCCATGACCACCAGAAAATGCCGTGTTTTCTGGTGGTCTTTGGCCCCTGATACCCCCCTGGAAATGCTGTCTTAGGGCCATTCAGTCCAACTCTCTTCACCAGGGCAAGAAAACATAATTAAAGCCCTCCTGACAAAGGGCCACTGGATGAATTGACACCAAATTTGGACACAAGACGCTTAGCAGGCCAACAAGTGACCATCACTCATAAAAACACTGAAAAACACAACGGAAGGGACTTAAAAAGCCAAAAAAAAAAAGGCATTACAATGCATGCGCATAACCACATATATAGACAAACACACACACACATGCACATATATAGACACACAAAACACATATAAACACACTGGGCCACAGCAATGCGTGGCCGGGGACGGCTAGTCTATATAAATAAAAATGTAATGTTCACTGTGGGATTAACAGAACTTAAAAACCACTGGATGAATTTACACCAAATTTGGACACAAGACACTTATCAGGCCAACAAGTGACCATCACTCATAAAAACATTGAAAAACACAACGGAAGGGATTTAAAAAGCCAAAAAAAAAATGGTATTACAATGCAAGCGCATAACCACATATATAGACAAACACACACACGCGCACATATATAGACACACAAAACACATATAAACACACTGGGCCACAGCAATGCATGGCAGGGGACGGCTAGTCTATATAAATAAAAATGTAATGTTCATTTGTGGGATTAACATAACTCAAAAACCACTGGATGAATTGACACCAAATTTGGACACTATACACATATCAGGCCAATGAGTGACCATCACTCATAAAACACTGAAAAACACAGCAGAAGTCTCCTCTCAGCCCAAAAGGCGACTTGGAGCAGATTACAAAAATTCGATGCCTCAACAGTCATATCAAAAAGTATAACAATCATAAAATACTATTAAAACATTAACATATAATATAAAAAATATAAAACTGTACAATCCTTAAAACATTGTGGAGAGGACTTGGGATTGTGGAGGCAGACATGATTCAAGAAAGTCAGCATTTGAGCACTGATTTACATCTCTAGAGAGCAGGGTTTGGATTCATGCTCAGCCATGGAAGTGCAATGGGAGACCCTGGGCAAGTCACACTCTCTCAGCCGTAAGTCAGAAACTACTCGAAGACGCTCAACAGCAACGTCTCAGTTCAATAAATAATAATAATAATAATAATAAAACTATTTATATTCTGCCCTATCTCCCTGGGGGGAACTCAGGGCAGATTCCAACATACAACGGAAAACATTCGATAGACCAACCAATATTAACATAATAATCCCAGAGGAATTGATGCGTTGCTGGGATATTGTTTACAAAACATTGGACTAGATGCAGGAGTAGCGTAGCAACAACTGGAAAGAGATAGCACATTGCAAAAAAGAAGAAGAAGAGCATTTCAACATGCCTGAGCAAACTTGTTCCTTCCAAACCCGGGAAAGGAACACCCATCCCAGGTGAGCCTTGTGTAAACAAAGACAAGCAGGTGAATCCTTCCGGAGACCATTGGAAGGCTTATCTCAAAGCACACGGTATCCCAGGGACAATGGAGTCTTTTACCAGGCTCCACTTTTCTTATAATCATCCTTTTGGCGGCCCAATGTCTGCTCTAGAGGCAGCCGCTTTGCCCTTTTCTCTCCGTTTCGCTTTTCAGTGAGGGATTGTGGGGGCAGCTGCTGTTTACCTTCCCTGCTGTTAAAAGACACTGGGGTTGAAACACAGCAAAATCCTGCATGGCAATAACATGTAAATGTATGATTTAAAAGGGCACAATCCCACTCTTATACATTGCTATGCAGGATTTCTATGTGTTTTAACCTCAACATGTGTTGATCCTGTAGTGTATTGGTTCACGTTTAATAGATATACAAGGGTTATCCGGAAATAAAACTTACATGGATTGTAGCATAGGTATTACATTATTTTTTCACATTTCAATCCATTTTATCATCCGTGGGACAAGTTTTTGATGCCTGTTTCATAGAAGTTTCCCTCTGCCTTTTTCAGCCAATTCGTCACTTCGATTTTTACATGGTCGTTGTCGGAAAAGTGTTTTCCACATAGGTGTTACTTCAGTTTAGTAAACAGATTATAGTCACCAAGTGTAAGATCGGGGCTGTGAGCGGAGTGGCTGAAAACATTCCAACCAAATGAAGTCAACATCTCTTATGTTGCATGAGTGGTGTGTGGATGCACATTGTCGTGAAGGAGACAGACTCCCGTCATCAGCATCCCACAATGTTTGTTTTAGATGGCTCTGTGAAGTTTCTTCATTGTCTCACTATATATTCTGTACCCATTTTGTCATAGGGTGTCTTGACATTACATCCTCTCCATCAACTGAAATGATTTTGCGATGAATAACAGCGACGTTCATGCCCTTAGCATTTAGGTAGCGTATTACAGCACTAAGAACTTCACACTTGGAGGGAAACAGAATGAAGACGCTCATCTCTAACCTTCACCACAACGTAGTCAGTGAGCTACTGACGACTGGCACTGCTCGTTCACTTCTGCTGGCTTCCCGCTACATGATAAAGAGACCAAATTCCCTGTGAGAGCTATGTGCCTTGTAACCTTACTTTCCAGATATCACTCACACAGCACAAACTTCACACTTGGAGGAAAACGGAATGAGGACACTCATCTCTAACCTTCATCACAATGCCAGTCGGTGAGCTACTGACGACTGGCATTGCTCGTTCACTTCTGCTGGCTTCCCACTACACAGCAATGAGACCAAGTTATCCTGAGGCAATTCCCTGTGAGAGCTACGTGCCTTGTAATCTTACTTTCCAGATATCCCTCATACAGTGCAAACTTCACACTTGGAGATAAATGGAATGAGGACCCTCATCTCTAACCTTCACCACAATGCCAGTTGGTGAGCTACTAACGACTGGCATTGCTCGTTCACTTCTGCTGGCTTCCCGCTACACGGGAATGAGACCAAGTTCCCCTGAGAAAATTCCCTATGAGAGCTACGTGCCTTGTAGCTTCACACTTGGAGGAAAACGGAATGAGGACTCTCATCTCTAACCTTCACCACAATGCCAGTTGGTGAGCTACTGATGACTGGCATTGCTCGTTCACTTCTGCTGGCTTCCCGCTACACGGCAATGAGACCATGAGAAAATTCCCCGTGAGAGCTACGTGCCTTGTAACTTCACACTTGGAGGGAAACGGAATGAGGACACTCATCTCTAACCTTCACCACAATGCCAGTTGGTGAGCTACTGATGACTGGCATTGCTCATTCACTTCTGCTGGCTTCCTGCTACACGGCAATGAGACCAAGTTCCCCTGAGAAAATTCCCCGTGAGAGCTACGTGCCTTGTAACTTCACTTTGCTGATATCCCTCACACAGCACAAACTTCACACTTGGAGGGAAACAGAATGAAGACACACATCTCTAACCTTCACCAGAATGCCAGTTGGAGAGCTACTGACGACTGGCATTGCTCGTTCGCTTCTGCTGGCTTCCCGCTACACGGCAATGAGACCAAGTTCCCCTGAGAAAATTCCCCGTGAGAGCTATGTGCCTTGTAACTTCAGACTTGGAGGGAAACGGAATGAGGACACTCATCTCTAACCTTCACCACAACGCCAGTTGGTGAGCTACTGACGACTGGCATTGCTCGTTCACTTCTGCTGGCTTCCTGCTACACGGCAATGAGAGCAAGTTATCCTGAGACAATTCCCCGTGAGAGCTATGTGCCTTGTAACTTCAGACTTGGAGGGAAACGGAATGAGGACACTCATCTCTAACCTTCACCACAACGCCAGTCAGTTGGTGAGCTACTGACGACTGGCATTGCTCGTTCACTTCTGCTGGCTTCCCGCTACACGGCAATGAGACCATGAGAAAATTCCCCGTGAGAGCTACGTGCCTTGTAACTTCACACTTGGAGGGAAACGGAATGAGGACACTCATCTCTAACCTTCACCACAATGCCAGTTGGTGAGCTACTGATGACTGGCATTGCTCATTCACTTCTGCTGGCTTCCTGCTACACAGCAATGAGACCATGAGAAAATTCCCCGTGAGAGCTACTTGCCTTGTAACTTCACACTTGGAGGGAAACGGAATGGGGACGCTAATCTCTAACCTTCACCACAACGCCAGTTGGTGAGCTACTGACGACTGGCATTGCTCGTTCACTTCTGCTGGCTTCCCGCTACACGGCAATGAGACCATGAGAAAATTCCCCGTGAGAGCTACGTGCCTTGTAACTTCACACTTGGAGGGAAACGGAATGAGGACACTCATCTCTAACCTTCACCACAACGCCAGTTGGTGAGCTACTGACGACTGGCATTGCTCGTTCACTTCTGCTGGCTTCCTGCTACACGGCAATGAGAGCAA